GTATATATATATATATATATATATATATATATATATATAAAGATAAAAAAATAACACCAGCAAGTGCAAATATCATATAAAATATAGACAATGTACATTGTAATACAAATATCAGATCAAAAAAAGAATTGATATCATAAAAGTATTAGCACTTCAAAATAATTCTTAATTCATGCTACATAATCATCCTAATTCCTGCTATATCTAAATAACATCAACATTCTAATTCCTACTACATCAAAATAACATTAAACAAATCTTGATCCCTTCCAAAATAACATTAGGATCCTACTTTCTGTCATACCAAAATAGCACAAGTCTAAATTTCAACTACACCAAAATATTATCATTCTAATACAATGATTTAACTAACTTTTCATGGATGGTAATGCATTATAAGCTGCATACTTTAGCCAACCCAACAGCCTTTGTTTATGTCCTTTTAAAGCTACAAACATTTCTCTAGCAGACTTGGATAACATAAGTTGAGAGCATCTGGCATGCCAATCGTCATCACTTGTAATTTCTATTATTTTGTCAAGTTCATCCATCACTTCAGGAATTGATGTGTCAAGTACTACTAGTGTGTTTAGGGCATTTGAACGTGACTCAGATGCAAATGCAATTCTACTTATTGCTTCAACTATTTTTTTTAGGCAGGAGCTTTCACCTTTTTACTTTCATTTTTTTCAGAAGCTCCAACCCTTTTCCTCTTGCCAATGCTTCTTTCACTATTGTTTCCTTCAAAAGTGCTTAAATTAATATTTCGCAATTCAGAACTCATTCCAGCACTAGTGGGTATAATTTCTTCACTATCTCCTGATCCTTCCTCTAAATTTATATCACCACTCTCAAAGCATGGACGATATACATCATCTTCACCTATATCATTAGGTAATATCCCAGAAGAGGGTGCCCAACTGAATTTTTCATTAGCCACCACATCCTTGAATAATGTAGTTAAATTATTGGCAAAAGCAAGTCCTTTATATCTGAATTTACCATAAAGTGGATTTTCCTGCATGTTACAACTAATTAACATATTATATTACATAAAGGAATTTAAAAACTTCTAACTTCACATTAAAAGACTTCATACCATTTGCTTTTTATCCCACCACTCGTCTGAAGCATCTACTGTATTCCTTACATTATCCCATCCTAAACCTGTCTCTTTTCCAAACAACTTGTACCATATTAACCATTCCTTCTTAAGATTATCCCATTTGTTTCTAAATTGACTCTTGCCATATTTTCTTCCACTTTTCATGTTGAATTCAGATTCAACGAATTTCCACCCTTTTTTTGTAAGGTTAGTACCATTTCGTTCTCCTTTATAAACTTGATCCAAGCATAATTTAACAAACATCTCGGTGACTTTCACATCCCATGCAGCTTTTGCCTTAACACCTTCATTATCAACAAGAGAAGTATCTACAAGACTTTTTCTCTTGTCGTTACTCATTAATCTATTATAAAAAAATATCACAATTCATTTATAGCCTCATTCAACTTAGTATAATAAATTATAAAAAAATAATTCATCACAATAGTGTGCACATTTGAAGATAAAATCAACAATACATGAATCTGGAAAAAAAATCAACGATTCAAAAGAGATAATAACAATAATGAATTTAAAAAGTTAAAAAATCTTTTATGCACAAGAAGGGGAAATAACAAAATCTTACCAAGATAGAAATCCAAAATCACAGAGCCAACATGCAGATGAATCCAAAAAAAATAAAAATAAAAAGTTAAGAAATTCAAAATCAGAGAGCTCACATGTAGATGGATCTGGAACAAGCAGAGAAGGAGGAGGAGGAGAAATTCTATATGCCCAAGCAAAAAATGTTTCGAATCCAAGTAATATACTGGATTTATTACTTCTTCAAGTTGGTGGGTGAGAGTAATGGTGACCGTTGCTAGTAGTTGAAGAAATTTAAATGCTACGGGTGAAAAGAGAATTAAGAAATGAAAACTTCTCGTTCAACAGAAAAGTAACATAAGTGTTGCATTGGATGTAACGTACGTTTTAAAGATAATAAAGTTTAACGTAACGTAAAAAAAATTACCAAACAAATGGGTACAACGTTCAATACAAACTAAACTTCCGTTTGGGTGCCTAAATGGCAAACCAAACATACCCTTAGTAGTTTAGGAATGCCCCATTCCAGTTTTGGGAACGACCTATTCCATTTTGGGAATAACCCATTCTATGCTACTAAAACACCTTTATTGGGCTTTGGGCCTTCTGATGTCATAACATTTTCCCATGCTTTGGGAGCTCCTTTCCTTGATAATAGAAGTACATTCCCTTGTTATAAGGTATGAAAACTAGGGTGTTACAATTCCCCCCCCACCCTTTTAGAAATTTCATCCCCGAAATTTTTCAAGAATCTGAACGGATGAACTTCATGCATCTTACTCTCTACTCCCTAATAACACTTTCCACTCCCACTCGAAAAAGTGTTGTCTATATCCCTACCAATCCTCTTCACTTGGTTCACTAATAAAGGATTTAACTCCTGGACTTCTCTAATCTCATCCATTAGTTCACTAGTCAGTTTTGACATACCCAATTCAATGCTCCTAAGGGTAAGCTCACACAACAAGTTTAAGTCTCTAAACTCTTCAATCAAATCCAAATCATAAATCATCAAAGACGATAGATGAATGAGCATCCTACTCAAAGCATCTGCCATATTATTAGTTTTACTTTTATGACCCTCTCCAAAGATCAAGTGCCTAAGCGTAAGTTCACTAGGTACACATACTCGGTCTCAAAGTATTACCACCCTATCTATACCCAAGGGAAACTCCTATCCACTACATTGAAAAAAGAAAGATTTTTAAAATTACCAAAATAACCTTCATAGCTAGAATTAGGTTAGGGAGTCAGTTATGTGAAGGGAAGGTATTAGGCACCCTACAACCCCCTAAATCGGTACCCTATGATGAAATTAGCATAATAATGAATAATAATTCAAATATTTATTCTTGTATTTTAGTAGTTATTTACATGTTATTCTATATTATAATTATTTATTAAATGGGGTTTTAAACCCCAAATGTTTGAAAATAATGTGTTTACATGATGATATATTATTTGTGACAGCAATATTTGAATAAAACAATAATAAGAAGAGAGAGAGGGATTTAATAGTATTAGTTACAAAGCAAGCTTTATAGAACCTTCTAATGGCGGTTTGTAGGTGCTTTTTGGTAGCTTTTCACTCTACAAATGTCCTCACTCACTCTAGTAATAAAAGAAAAAAAAAAAAGAGAAAGGAAGCATTTATGAACTAGAACTAATGAGAATATCAACTTTTTTCTCTGAATCTTCGATCCCTTTTGCACTGTGCATGAGGCACCTATTTATAAATGTCAGACCCAATTGGAATGGCCATTTTGGTTAGTGGAACAGGCTGTTCCAAATTGGTTTGTTAGGGCAAAGATTTGAATTTGGAATAGCTCGTTTCAAAATCAAAACAACTCGTTCCAAACTACTATTTTGTTCATAACAACCTGGTTCAAAATGGTTCGTTCCAGATTAGGAACCGCTCGTTTTGACCTAGGTTTTTAGGTCTTTTTGATGGTTTGGAACGACTCGTTCTAGATTGGAAACAACCCATTTCAGGCTCCTAATTTGGCTTTTTTAAGTTGTTGGGCCTTCTGATGCTATTCTGGTTTGTTCTAATGTCATGTTAGGCCCTCAAGAGCCTTCTGTCTTGTTTTATTAGTCCTTTGCCTTGTTTGGATACCCTGGACAAAATTAGGTGTCTACAAAAACCTTGCTCCATTGTGAGAAGGAATAATTGACAACCCACAGGTCTAAACGTGAGAGTCCCTTGTGTTCTGTTAACTCCATTGCTAAATTTTACTCTACATTATTTTCCATAAACACAATGTCTTACAAAAATCTAGCTTCCCAGATCTTTATCCACCAAGCAAGTGTTTCTTGTTAAGCTCATCCATTCCATGCTCATTCATATGGGCTAACCTCATATGCGATCAATGAGTCTAGTCAAGATTGAAGTAGAAGAAACTACAGTTGCACCTACCATCATGCTGCCTTATAAGATACATAGTCCATTTTTCAACTTTTCTTTCACAACTATGATGACACCTCTAGAAACTTGCAAAACTCTTCCTTCAACTCGATATGGACAACCAAGAAAGTCTAATGTGCTCAAAGAAATTAAATTCTTTTGAAGTTCAAACATGTACCTCATATCGATTAATATTCTCATAATACCATCAACTATCTTAATTTGCAATGTACCTTTATCAGCTACATTACAAACACCATCATTCCCATTAAAACTTTGTCACTACCAATCTCTTTGTATGTGACAAACCAATCTCTATTAGGAGTCATGTGAAAGGTACATGTTGTATCAAGAATTCGGTCATCGTTATTTACATTAGATGAGACAAAGAGAACATTTCCACCATCCGATTCTTCCTAAGCCACAACTACTCCACCATAATCCGAAGTACCTTACTTTATATTTTTTTAAACTTTCAACAATTTCTCTTTCAGTGCCCTTCTATCTGATAGTTATGACATCTATTATTCTTATTTTTGTTGCATGATTTTGAATGTCTCCTTTTTGAAACTCTTCTTCCTTTCCTTTATTCTTTCCCTTACCATAAATATAATTAACATATCAAAATTATTTTTGTCGATAAATTTCTCAACATCAAACTTCGCAGAAGCTATAGCTCTGATACAAGTTTGTTATGGTAAAATTGTATTTGATGTAGAAATATAATTAACGAAAGATAGTTAGCACTAAGAAGAATCTCTATTAATAAGGAGAAAATAAAATGACAACGAAGAATTCTCTATGAATGTTTTATCTCTCACAATGCTCTCGAGACATTAAATCCTATTACTCTTATTCTGTTCAAGGGAGTGTAATTAGTGGCTCAATTAGTGGATGTCAATACATTAATATTTATCTTTTATAGACTACTCTTTTAATTTTTAGATAATTTTAAAAAATTAGATTGAAACAAAAATATCATAAAAAAACATAAGTTTTTATATTAGAAAACAAAAATAATATCTTCATTATCTTTTTATGTATAATAGGATGTGTAGAGTGAAGATATTAATGTTATCCCAATTTATAGGTATTTTTTTCTATTACTTTTGTTGATTGTGTGCTTAACATTTTATAATGACACAACGTATAATTAGATTTATCGCCCAATTAGCCAATAAATATAGGAATATAGGATAGAAGAAACGAAAATAGAAGTAAAAAAAAAACATATCCATATATAATTTTTATTTGATTAAAGGTAAAAATAAAAAAAAATAAAAACTATTTATTTGATGGATTTAGCAGTATGTAAATTTTATATAACATATTCTCTAACTGAGGCTAGATAGAACCGTAGAAGGACTGGGATAATTTGTTTTTATTTTTCTCAGTTACAAATATTAAAAAAACTAAAATATACTTTAATCTATTAGAAATGCAAAAAACTATAACATTTTTACTTATTATTTTTTAATTATCATTGCACTAATATATATATATATATATATATATATATATATAAATCTGTTTTTGGTCCCTTAAATTTAAAATTATTGTTTTTAGTCCCTGTAATTTCAAAAAATCTTATTTTAGTCTTTATATTCAAATTTTGTTAAGAAATTTATCAAACATTATTGCATAAAATCTATCTATTCGTGTCCCTATTAGCGAAAATATCACATCAAATCCAAGTGATATTGCATAACTGTCTTAATTAGTCACTTTCAAATATGTTATTGGTTACTTAAGGGAATAAAATAAGATTTTTGAAAATTACAGGGACTAAAAAAAACAGTGTTAAATTTGAGGGACAAAAAACAAATTTGTCTTAAATTTGAGGGACTAAAAACATATTTAAGCCTTTATTTTATATTAAATTTTAATGATTTAACTATTAATTCAAATTGATAAATGATCATAAAAATGTTAAATTAATTTTAAAATTTTAATTTTAATTTTTAAAAAAATTATATATTTGATCCATTCATTAAAAACATACATTAAAGACTTTAAATATAATTATTGAATCATTAAATAAAATTATCTTCTTTCATTTAATCATCTATCTTCCATATCACATCCAATTCTTTATAATATTTATAGTAGAAAAAATCATTTCAACTAATGTAGTTGTCGCTAGCAATATCAAGACTAAAATTAATATAGTTGCAATTAATATAATGTTTATAACAAAATATTTTTCTAAACATAAAAATAGAATAAATAAATAAAAATAAAAATACATTATTTTCTATTGAAAATTATAAACATGCAAGACTAAAATTACCCTTACTTCATTTAATTAACACTATTATTTTATTATAAAAATGTGTAATTTTTTGATATATAGTATTTTACCTCTTAATTTTTTTTCCACAAATTCTTATTATTTTATTTTATCATTTATTGATATTTATTTTGATTTAATTTATTGATTTTATATATATATATATATATATATATATACATTTTTTTTTCTCTATTTCCAGTTCCTAACATCCCAAAAAGTTGATTCGACTAATTCCTCTAGACAGAGGTGGTCAGTGCCTCATGTAGGACGTCGAGTCGTTGTTCTTCTTCTCGTGGTTTTTGCATCTCATTCAACATTATTGACTTCACAATATATTCTAGCTATTTGGAGATTTCCAACATTATGTAATGAAATGTCATCTCCAATTGTCGTCGAATGATTGAAGGAATAACTATTTTTGTTTGGGTTCCGAGCTTGGAAAACCTAACTACTACTTCACTAGTGCTCATAAGTACTACTAATGGAACAATAATTACGATTAGAATTTAGGTTTGAGTTACAATAAAATTACATGACTTAAGTTTTATCTAACTTGAAAACCTATTTACATCATCTATTAGTCTACAAGGCATACATACAGACCAATAGGTATCTAAGTAGGTCAATCTGTCTAAATATTAAAATCATCATTATTATTATTAATTATATATTAAATATAAATATCAATAATAATTTAAAATATATAAGATGTATATTTATTATAATTGAATCTTTTTCCTCAGTATTAAAATTAGTGAAATTACATCTTTAATAATTTTTAATATATAAATTTAGTCCATTCAATTGTCTAATTATATGATTTACACTCATGATCATGTCAATCGAATTTCATATAATTTAGACAATTATAAATATGTTTTCTTATTATAGATATATCAAATAATATATTATATATTCATTAAGTTTACACAAGATCTATAAATACGTCTATAGGTAATATAAAGTCCAAACATTATTATTAATAATAATTATAAATTAAATATAATTATTAATTTAAATAAAATATATATTATAAATGTATAATGAATAACATTATATGTTAAATAAGCCTATACAAGACCTATTACATGCCGATAGACCTAAATAAAACCAATGGTTCTAAATATTAAAAATATTATTATTAATTATTAAAAAAAATTCGGTATCTCCTAAAAAATAATAAATTAATATTTCTAAAACAAGGTGAGTAGTTATTATTTTTAAAAAGGATATTTATTTTTTGTATATATATTATTTCTATTTTGTCTTTAAATATAAATTAGTAAAATAAAATAAAATACAATATAAGAATATAATTATCTTTAAAAATGTGTATCTTTTGATATTTCCTTTATATATTATTATGAATATAATTATAAAATAAAATATATAATAAATAATACATAATATTATATGTTATACAAACAAACCTATCAAGTCCATCAGGCTATTTTAAAAACCTGAAAGTGAAATACCTAAATATTAACGTTTATAACAAACATATAAGTCATACCAAACTTTAAACAAGTTTGGTAACAAGTCTCTCACAAGATGTTTAACCTATTTTCTTAGTAAATGATTTTTGGAGAAGAGATTTTGTTCCTTAAATGAATTTCTAATTGATTCCAAAGTGTTTCATAGTAATCATTGAACTGGTATTTTTGTGCTCCATTACGCCTGGGACCAATGTGGTAAATGAACTTGTAAACCACTACAAATATAAATGAAAACGATAAAATAAAATTGTAAAGAAAAAAATAAACCACGAAAAATAAATGGCTTTAACAAGATGAGTTTGATTGATTGGTTGAGGACCTAGCAACATCAAAATAATTCAAAATTTTAAAGGTTCCACCGCTTGATGCCTAAAAACAACCATCCAAACTACTATCAGACATTCAAATTTCTCTCAAAACAAGAACTATTGGGTTGGACCTTATTTTGTAAGCTACTCGCCAACCTAGCTAATTTTGGGCCCACAATTAGTCCGTCATCAGCTTAACTAGCCGTCAACCAATACTAGGCAGCTATCCTCAACCACATTTTTAATTTTCTTTATCAAAATATTTGATATTTCTTGTTATCAATTAGTTTTTTTTTTTTTTTTTAATCAGCACTTATAACTTTGAAGGTTTGCTGGAAGTCTATGAAGTCTTTTCAAATTTTATACATTCTTATTTCATTAAAATTTAAATTACAAATTTTGTTTGTCTTTTAAAAAATCCTACAAATCATTTCAAAATAATATTTGAAAATGTACAAGTTTTTTTAAAATCAAAATAAGGTTTTAAAATCACACTTCCTTTTTACTTTCCATAATGGTTCATTTCTTATTAGTATTTGAGCCAACCTAAACTAATTTGGCATATTATATTATGCTCTGAATTATTCTAGTACAAGTTTTACCTATTGAGGGAGTTTACACTTCTAATTTGATGAGTTGTCATATTGGCATTAAAAAGGAGACAATTTTGTTTGATATAAATTGAAACACAGTATTTCTTTCTCTTATTTTGGCTCAAACATATTCCTTCTACCCCAAGCTTTGCAGCGGGTGGAAAATGGGCAAATGCTTCTTGCAGATACAAGCTTTCCCCAGTAAATAAATAAATAAATAAAAAGCCTAATAAACAGTCGCTATAAACCAAAAAAACCTGGGTAGAGCCAATCCCCTGCTATTGGATTTTGATCCATGTAACTTCCAGTCGTCAGGCTGCAAAATCAATGTGGCGTACTACTGAGACTAATAAAAATTTGACAAACTCGTTTCAATGGGGTAGGAACATACATTACTGCTGTAGAGCTAATTAACATGTTCATAAGGCCATACCCAATGAATAGAATCAAACGAACTGCATCTATGTCAGCATGTCCAAAAATAAGGAGGTTAGATTATTAACTTGAACTCGAATGTGATTTTAGTGATACATGATCTACCTGGTTAAATTACTTTCCTATCTATTTGTTTAGAAAATAAATCAGGCACAATGAAACATTTACCAATCCCCAGACACCCCACCAACCAATCATATATATAATGGGAGGAAAGATAGATAAAGGCGTGGGTAGGCTACCTCATTCCAAGGCCAGGGCATGGCACAGGCCTTGGCATAGGTAACCAATCAAATAATTAATGAGAAAAATACAAGCTCTGGATACACGCTCCATCATCTTCTTTATGCATGAGTCGCTGTGGGCCTGAAACAATCAATATTGCACAATCCAACCGATCTCACCATCTCCCCAAAACTGCAACCACAACAGAAAATAAAGTCAAAAAACATAATTAATGCATCATTTTAACTCACTAGTCACTACATTGGACATGGTTTATATCTGACCGGTCAATGCTATTTCTAGCCTTTTCAGGTATATCTGTTCCATTATATGCCTTCTCAGGGCGATCTATACTCTTTCTTGATTTCTCTCTCCTGTCTATGCTGGCTCTTGACTTCTCTTTAAGGTCTATGCTTGCACTAGGCTTTTCTTTGTGATCAATACTCCTCAAATTCTCCCTCAGATCCATGCTGGGTCTGGATTTCTCTCGAAAATCTATGCTGTTCCTAGGTTTGTCCGGTTGATCGGGAATATGACCAGATCCAGTCTTTTGATGTGGTGACTTCTCAATGACTGTAATGAATTTCTTGAGGTGCTTTATATATTGAGGGTAAAGCTCCAAATCACAGTGATTTCCTCCTTTAATCCATAAGGGCTCATACTTTTGTTTACAATTTTCCCAAAGTTGTTTCCCGTGGGAACAATCCACTACATCATCAGCTGTTCCCTAAAATATATAAGGAAATACAAAGAACCATCTTACTAAGTCGAAAGTTGAAACACAACCGTTTGTTGCATCATGAAATTCATATGCTCACTTACAACACAGTTGAGCAATGTAAGAAATATTCTAACTTATAAATATGTTCCTAAACATATAAAATAATATAGTGGCTATATGTATGCCATTCATACGCTCACTTATAACATACATGACCAATAAAAGAAACATTATAAATATGCTCCCAAATATCAGATACAGGCTAAATGTGGATCAATGACATGATACTAGCATATTAACTGGCGCAAGGATATGAAATACTTTGCCATATTTAAAAGACACATTAGTTGTGTTTGGAAAATGCATATAGGACACTCAATAAGGCATCAACAATGACAATGGTCAAGAATGAGCAATTGACAACCTAATTTATAATCAGAATAGCTCCAAATAATGTTAACAAGTTCAAATGGTTCAATGAACTGGGAATGATAAGAGCATGTACAGAAACCAAATCAATAAAAGTCAGGGACTAAGGAGATAGTGACCTAGTGCATGAGACTCCTTCCTATTGGGGTTTCGGGACTGAGAAGAGTAGATGTTTGCAAAAATGCACACTGACCAAAGAAATGCTTAACAAGCAACTATAGAAAATACATCAAATATTTACTACAATATTGCAGCATCTTTCTTCTATGCAAAGGTATATGTAGTTTCCAAGTATAAATATACGAGACAGCTTAGCTTTCAGAAATGAGAAGAATACTCACATGAATCACGAGAACAGGACAATTCACTAAGGGGATTTTATCAATGTTCTGCATGAAAAGAAGATCAATAATCTTAAAATGGATGAAAATGAACATTATGAATTATGATTAACCAGTTTAGCATTGATATAGGTAAAACCTTATAAATGTCGAACCAGTATGTGCGCTTCACAGGATACATGACACGAAGGCCAGATAAGATTGGACTGTGGAGAATCACAGCCCTAAGGTTTGGTAAACGACTGGCCAAATCTATGGTGGGTCCGCTACCAACAGATTGTCCATACAGAACAATATCTTCCTCTTTTGCCCCATACTTCTCCTGCAGACATTTATAAACAGCTTCTATATCTGCATAAGTGTTCTGCTCACTAGGCTGTCCAAAAAGAAATAAATAAAATTGTTAAACCCAAGCTATTATAGCATGAAGTAATCTCACAATGATTTATAACCCCAATTTTCTTTCCCTCTCCTTTATCTTTATTAAATTTAGAGTAAATAATTCTTCTCTCCTTTAAGAGATACTTAAATTATACTATCCCTCCCTTTTTTTCTAAATATATTCGCCCAAGTCTCTTTTCATAATTCCTAAGAGATGAATGAGTCACTCTTCAATCCTTTTCCTTATATTTTAACCTCCTAAAAGTGTTGGGTGAATAATTATGAATATGTCTCCTAATGAATATTTACAACTTTCAAGATTACCAACAACTAATTTTGAACATCCTATTATTGTTTTTTTTAGTATTTTAGAGGATAGAATGAAGTTTTAAATGCCTTTATTATGACTTTTAAAATTTATTTAAAATATTTATTTCATCTTCCTTAGTCACAAAATTGATAGTTGATGTTCAAAAGTAATTGTTAATCATATTGAGGGTCACACCACAAGAGAAAATGTAACAAAAGCATCTCTGTGGGAAGAGGAATATAATTCTATGCTTAAAGTTAATAGAGAAAAATAAATGTGTATTAGCACCAAGATTTCTTTAAACGGTCATCCAAATCTCTATGACAATACAATTTTTTATTGTATTTATTTAAATAAAAGCTTATATTAAATTTAAATTAAAGTTACTATTTCTGTTACCATTCCAGTATACACATAAAGTTAAATTACAGTTACTATTTCTAGTTCAAATGAAATATTGCAAGTAAATAAGGTCATGTAAAAAAGTAAATAAATAAAAATGTAAGTATATAAGGAGTACAGAATTTTGAAACTCTGAATCTGCCTCAAAAAGTCTACTCCTGTAATTATTACAACAACTAGGAGAGTGAGTCCCACTCTTAATTAGAGATTTTCTATATTATCCATCTTCTCTTATATATATATATATATATATCGTATTTGATATTTGGTTTTCAACTGCATGTAACTTTTAATCAACCCTCTTTTATCCTTATTTTAAAAATTTTAATTTCTATATTAAATTTTGATATTCGTTTAAAAAATTATTTAGTTAAAAATAACCTTGTATCACAATTTAAATAGTTAATGATAAATCTAAAATATAATTTATATATTTAAAGATAATTATAATGAATTTTAATTATAAAAAAATAAGCATTCATCGTGTTTGAATACACTAGCTAAAATACTAGAATAATAATAACCAGCAACATCATTCAACCGAAATTAAAACAATATCCATACCTTCCCAGAGGACTGCCCATATCCAGAATAATCATAACTACAGGAACAAAAATGAAAATAAAAAAAAAATAATCAGAATTTGCAATAGAACTCCAATTAGGTAATAAATAAAACAAGCAAACTTCCATTTCAGCCTCTACAAATTAGAAAGAGGGTACAAGAAGGAATCCCCTTAATGGCAAAGTAGTCTAAAATCTATAATTTGAACAAATTTAGCCCTGTATGAGCGATATTGCATCGATCAAACTAACCCCTAAAGAAGAAAATCATGTGATTCAGGTCCCCCAATAGATATTTTGCCAGCCAAATTAATCTCTAACTCCATTAATTAAAGGTCTAATTCGATCAACAAAATGCCTAGTTCAAGAACGCGCGTGATAATTTTCATTTTCCGGAAAAATAACAAGACGATGTCATATCTTTTACGAACCAATTTTTCCATTCAAGAAATCATTAGTCCAGTTGGCTAATTTAGTAAAGCTTAAGACGAAGGAAATTAGAATAATTCAAAGAATAAGAAATAAAAAATCGAAATAATTAGAAGATTAAATGGAAAAATAGTGTAAACATGGAAACAAAATTTACATTAACATAATTAAATAATTAAAATTTAGCTGACATAAAGAAAGAAAGAAAGAAGGTTGTAGAAAGTAGAAACAGACCCCATGAGGTTAACTCGGAGGTGGATACTGAGTTCGCTGAACAACTCGTACATCTGACCCAGATCAGCGGCGTTTCCGTGCGAGTAAAGCAAAGTCAACGACGCCGTTGGATTCTTAATATACATCGCCACGACGCTGTTCCCTCTCTCCGTTCGCACCTTCAATACGTCGACGTTTTCCCGCGTCGCCACCTCCACCATCCTCGCCCTCCCCCCCGCCTCCTCCTCCACCGTGTACGACGGCGGATCCGGCGGAAAGAACGCGAACTTCGCCGCCATCGACGACGTCACCGCTCCCATCGACACAAAGCAAAAATTAAAAAACAACAACGAGAAATTGAAAATGAATAAATAAATAGAACCGTTAGCTTAATTTCGAAACACTGAAGCGCATTTTCGTGAATGAAAGTTCTGGAGTTGGGAGAGAGAGAGAGTATATATTCGTGTCGTCGTTGGGCTTGGGGAGTGTTTGGTTGTAGCGGAATTGCGACAAACGTAAAAGGAAAGTTGTGTTTTAACTTTTAACGTTGCATTGTTAGGGTTTTTCTTTTTCTTTCTTTTTTTCTTTTTGACTTAAAATCTTTTTCTCACTTTCTGTGCTCACTGGTTTTTTTACTTATATCCATCCTAATATACTTTTAGTTTTTAAATTTAAAATAAATTTATTTTTAATTTCTTAAATTTAAAAGTGTTATTTTCAATCTTTAAATTTTTTAAAAATTTTATTTTAATTTTTAAAATCATCAATAATATATTTTAAAGTAATAAATTAAAACAGTTAAATAATATCAATTGATTTAATATGATATTTTTATTAATAAAAATATTAGTAAATAAATTTTATTCAATAATATTAAATAATTTTTTTAATAAAATTTAAATATAAAAACTAATTTTTTTTTGAAATTACAAAAAT